AGCCGTGTTCCTAATATTAAATAGCACTACAAAAACAATGATGAACAGTTAAGATGATTCTAATGCTTTTAGTGCTAGATTCAACGTCAAAAACCATGACATTTCAAAAAACCTTTTTATTTTTAATTATGATAATATTGGAAATAATCACTTAATACGCGGCGCATGTAAAATTCACTAGATATATACCATACAAATCACAATAAAATTTTCTCCGCAGTAAAAGTTGTTTTTCCAAAGTGCACTAAAACGCGTAAAATAATATTGAGTAGGTACCTACTTATTACACCACATAACATTCTGGTTGCGGACATTGTGATTAAATAGAGATGTTTGTTAAGTGTATATCTTCCGAGACCTTCACGATACAGTTAATAAATAATTTACTTTTGTTGATAGATCTAATACTACAAAAATGTCGTATTATTGCTACTAAAGATCCCAAAATAGATCCCTTATAAAATTGTTGTTTAGATGATTTGTTGCTATTATATAACTCACAATATAATCTGCTTTATGACCCAGTTATAAAACCTTTAAGAAACTATTTTATTAAAGTATTGGCATATTTTTATAAGACCTGTATAAACGTTTATATGACTACTTTTTAATTGTTTCCAACAGGCCTTACAAAACCTCAACGGTGACTAAAGTGCTTTATAATACTGTGCCCATTTTGGTTGTATAGTTGCTGTATAAACATTCTTACAATGTTTTTGAGACTTATGCTGTTTTATAAAATTTGTCTCGAAAATGTTTTTGCAGCTTTTATAAAATATCAAATTGCTAGTTGGGTTGTTTAAATAATGATTATAATGTAAAAATTACCAGAAATGGATTTTTTAGCTGTATTAAAAAGCGCTCTCCAACAGGAGTTTTTGCTTTTGTTTATATTTATAGGTTTTCAAAAAACGCTTCATTTGAGACCTGAATTATAATCCATTAACAATTTGCAAAAAAAAACAGCGAAATTTGAATTTGCTATAAATAGAAGAAAAGAGCATAAATCGTCTCTAAACTGCAGTAAAAGTTGTATTTTGTTAAGCTTAAGAAACTCTGAATATTTGGTAAAGAAATATTTATTTGCTTACGAGTTTTTGCATTTGTTTATTAGAAATAGTATTTTTTCAATTGCAAAAACGGGGTTGTTAGCATTTTAATAAAGGGCCTTATGAGGGCTCATTTGTTTCGTCTTGACTTATATTTTCAAGATATGCAATTGGAAATTGTAATTTTATAGGCTAACCTCCTGAAAACGGCGTATAAACAAATAGTGTAATTTGTTTATAAGGTTTTTCCTTAATAATTTTGCGAAGAATGAATATTTTTTAAAGCCGCTTTGATATTTGTAATCCTGGTAATTTTTCATGAATTTGTTCTAGGACCATTTTTAGCCTGGATAGCGTTTTTTTTTTTTAAATTCATAACTTGTGTATTTATAAGCATTAAGACTTGAAATTTCGGGAATAAATCAATCAACCCTTGAACTTCATATGAACGGTTAAAGATATCGAGAAAATGCATTTTATAGTAATTTTTAACTCTTTAAAAAACGTCCTCGAATACATTTTTACACCTGGAATGTGATGGGGGAAATAAAACAGAAACGTTCAAAAGTGGAATCGAGACTTCAAATCTTAACTGTCCGAAAATTTTGCGATATCTCCGGTAATTGTGGACAAATTTTAACGGTTTTTTTAAGTTTGGGGTAGCGCATGAAAATAATTACAACTGCACGGTCCATTTTGCAATTAATTATTAATTTGTTATAAACTATGTGCAAAACCGTAGTTATCTTATCAACTTCCACGTCACCTGCTACATGGGTGTTGTATAACAATGAAAAAGTAATATTAACGGTCGATAGAAGGACGCACAAAAAACAGACACTTAGGTAGGAAATTCTGGAAGGAAGCCTAAATAGTCGAAAATGGGGAGTTGAAGTGAGAACAGTGTGCAGATGGGTAGTAAGACGATCGGCGGGCAGTGTGACAAAGTAGTGTAAAATTAAGTGATTAACCGGTATTAGTTAGCAGGTAATATTCTTTAAGTACTTTGTTGTTAATTGTTCTATGTAATCTCATGATTGTGATGTTTATAGATGTTTCATGATAATAATTCTTTGTATGTTTAGCTTCCATTGCTTTATGCTCAAGGGCATATATTTTTCTAAGGTAAAATTGTTATAATTATACTTAAAGTTTGCCCATTATTTATTTCATGTTAAAAATATATGTATTGTCCTGATTGCCAGACATTACAATAACGACTTCTTTGTTTCACATCTAACTTGTTTTTGCCACGATTACGTTATACGTAAAATATAGATGTTTCATGATAATAATTCTGTATATGTTTAGCCTTCATTGTCTTACGCTCAGGGGCGTATATTTCTCTAAGATAAAATTGTTACAATTATTATTAACGATTGCTCATTATTTATTACATGTTGAAATATGTATATATTGTCGTGTCTGCCCAGATATTGCAAAACAACTTCTTTGTTTCACATTTAACTTGTTTTATCTTGATTACGTTGTTCTTTGATTTCTTGTGCTCACTTTATGTCATACGTATGTAAGAGCTTTGTTGAATTTACTAACATTTTCACCCATGATTATTATTATTGTTATTATTGTTGTTGTTCTCCCGAAATCTCAACTTTAGCTGGATAGCCTCCCGTATTATGGGACTCCAGTACCTTCCCTATTATTATTGCTATTATTATTATTATTATTGTTGTTGTTGTTGCTATTATTGTTACTAAAACCTCTTCAGTTTTACTTGGAAGTGTGTATGTCAGACTTGAGTGAGATGACATTTAGTGAGAAATTAAATAAGTCCAGTTTTAATTATCATTAGCAAAGGTTCTTAATGTATGCCTTTGGTTAGCGGTTGTTTTGTATTTATATTTGGGTGGTAAGAGCAACGATCGTGGGTTTCTCTGCCATGCTCTTTCCCCGCAGGAGCTCTAGGTGAGCCTGGCACTCTCCTTTTATGTTTAATGGTTGTTAATGTTTTTGTTGTTCTTTCTATTTGTCACATGTTTAATTTGAATTGTATATAAATAAAGGTTAGGTGTATTTACTCTGCTTTTGTTTTGTATAATTAAACCATGCATCCCCTCTACAAAGTTAGTAGCCAGCGCCTTTCGATCATTAAAAAATTAAATACACACAACGTAGGGATTCCTTATGACGATCACATCTTTTTGGCCACAACTACGATATATTGTTTTTTGTCGAACCTAGGGTTGTTATACTACAACTATTAAATTTGTAGAAAAAAAATTTTTTTCGCATTTTCTCGAGAAATAATTACTGGTAACAATGGTACCAATAAACAATTTCAATAAAAAAAAAATATTTTTATGTAAAAAAAATCAGGAAATGACATATTTTTTATGTATAAAGTTTATTTTAATGAGGATCGAGTTTTTGGATGTAATATGCATTATTGTCTAGTTTTACTGAAAGCGATGAGAATGAATGTCATGGCATGAATGAACCACCGCGAAAAATGTAACATTTATTTTACTATAAATATGCGTCAATTATTGTATATTTGATAATAATTATAATTAAGCTGTGTAATTTGAATCGTGAGTTTTATTATACTTACCTTGTCTGTTTTAAAATATAATATGTAATTTAATGTTAAAAAATAATACTATTATTAATTTAGCAGGTCTCAAATGAAGCGTTTTTTGAAAACCTATAAGTATAAACAAAATCAAAACCTCCTGTTGGAGAGCGCTTTTTAATACAGCTAAAAAATCAATTTTTGGCATTTTTTACATTATAATCATTGTTTAAACAATGATCTTGCTGTTTTATACCGACGCTTTTTGTGAAATTTTACGTATATGTGAAATTCGTATTTAACAGATAAATGTTGACAGTAGCCTACTAGGTAATGTATTAAAGAAATAAAAAATACGCGTTAAGATGTTTTATTTTTTTTGCATCAAAACGGCGCCCCATACGAAGAAAAGGCAAGAGAGATTTTTTGTCACAAATTGAACGAGGAATTCAAAAATGATTTTTAATTTGTAATATCTCAGTGGCGTACCATTTTTTTCTTTAAAAAAATTGAGATTATTACCCGTACGCGCGCCAATGATGAACATAAAATTCTTAATTGCGTGTCAAAAAATGCGCAATAACTGCCTCTTAAAACCTACCAAATTTCATTTGCACATCTCGACCGGTTTCAGAGCAATAAATTAAATCGTCAGTTTTTAAGAAAAACTTTGACACCCCGTATCTCGGAAAACGAATCATTTGCGGACATACGTTTATAAGCAAACTGCCATTATTTTCTCATGTAGAATCACCCCCTGAAATTTGTCGCACGTTGTTGTATGTTTATGGATTTAACTAAAAATAAAACTGTTTATGTACCTACTTAACTGAAATAATATATGAAGTGTGGATAAAACGTCTAACTTCGTTTAAGAATCCTGATATAGTACCTGGTAGTTTCTAAATTCTAGATATTCATAGACTGTTTTTTTTTTAATTTTTATCCTTCAAATGTAAGGTCTTCGGTGTAATAATATGAGTTTCTTTAAAATTATTTTTACTATTACTATTAATTCAATTATCTGTTTTTTTTTTTCAACTATATACAGTTGTTTATCATTTAATACACTCGTATATTATTTCTAGTTGACTGAAAGATTTATTCAACCACTCATTATTTTAATAAATAATAAACTTTTAATTAGTAAATTAAATACTTATTTGAGAGCACATTGTTTCTCTGTAGGTTGAAAATATGTCCGAAACATTTGAAAATTCATTTTGCAACTTTGTTTTTTACAAAATACAAATAGTTTCAACCTGGTAAGAAAATATTCTGAAGAAAAAGAAGACATTTAGCACGAAAATTAAAATAATGTTTAATGCATTTACATAATTCCCACAGCGTAGGTGATTCGTCGCAGAGAAAAATGTAATAAATGGAGTAAAAGGTGAAATGAAATATACCCGTGATTTTATTATTAAATTAAAAAATTACATTTATATTTAACATAAACTGGTACACATTTTTGTTTACAAAATTTCCCGAAGTAGTGTGAAGCGATTTTGAGATCTTATTAGCTTCTTAAAAATTAAATTTAAATGTTGCCCATTACAGTCTACTGAGGTACTGTTATTGTTGTATTAACACTGTTAACGTATTTATCTGTCCTATACGTCATATGTTGGTCTTGCATTAAATGGTATTCCGCTTGCAACATGCGTATGTATCGACCAACTACAAATCAAAATTGTTTCTCTATCTTGAGTTGCAAGTCCCGCACATGATTCATTCAGTTTATCGGCACATACTCTTCTTTCCTGTAACATGAATATATTTTGATCATAGGATATGAAGAAATGATTCAGACAAATATTTATAAATTTCGATTTTGCTACTGGCCATCATCATGTTCAAATAATGACTTCTCAAGACGAATTCCTACTATCTGGTAGTACCAGACAGCCGCCAGAGTGTTGAGGCATCAGTTGGTGTTACTAGATGGAAATTTCAATGCAATACAGGATGTTTCTTCAAAGGAGTGATAGAGGACCTGTGATCTAAAAGGTGTCATATATTTCAATTTCATTACATTTCATTCATTTCATTTTCGAATATATTTTTCATGTATTATGCTTTCTATGTAATCTTTTATTGTTTCTCCTGCCCTTTAATTGGATTTGAAGTTGTCTAGGCAGCTATATGAAAATGAAATGAATCAATGATTATTACTCGAAACTTAGGCCGACCATGCATCGTCCCAATTAATTAACTGATCATCTATTTAAAGTTGGTAACCAAAATAAATTCACGTAAATTAAAAACAAAAGTGGTCCCAATACGGAGCCATGTGTTACTTCGTACCGAATCAATTGAATATGGGAATTGAATATCATTAATTGAAATAAATCGTTTACGATTTTTTAAATATGATTGCAATAATAGAGCCGGTCGTCCCCTTATCCCATAACATTCTAATTTTTTAGTTAGTATATCATGTGAAATACAGTCGAAAGCTTAGGTTAGATCACAAGCTGTAATAGCACAATATGAACCTTCATCAAGTCCTTCAACAATGAATTTTATTCGTTTAGAGAGAGAATGGGTAGTAGAAAAGTCTTTATTTATAAAAATATTTATAAAATTTCTATTATTTTTCCAAAAAGAAACACAGAAATGAGATGGAACGATAACAAAGCCACACACAAAAAAAGTTGTCTGTACTTTTCATGCGACATATGTTATATTCGTAGTATTTCTGCCTCCTGATCACGAATCCGGTGTCAGAATTGAGCTATCACATCACAGGAATTTCTTAACCTCAAAAAACAGGTCAAAAATAGCAAACATTCAGGAAAATGTGCTAGGAAAAATACAAAAAATCGAAATCCCCCGGATGCCAAATTTGGCGCGAATCTGTTATTTTGTGAAAATTCGTATATCTGACCTTAATTGACCCGTTTGAAAAAAAAACATCAATTCTGATCGGGAATTCACGTTCGGCGGAGTCTTAATCATATAAATGAATATTTGAATATAGAAAAAAAAATTCCTGTGATGTGACAGCTCAATTCTGACACCGGATTCGTGATCAGGAGGCAAACATACTACGGATAACATATGTAGCATGAAAAGTACAGACAACTTTTTTGTGAGTGACTGTAATTTTCCACCTTATTGCAGTCAGTTTTGTTAAATAGAGGTACCACTAAAAATATCAGGAAAAGTGCCCTTACGAAAATGTAAATTAATTAGAGACATAAATGGCTGCAATAATATTATTTCATATCGGTTTTTACCGGAATCAATTTAGAATTTGTATAGCGCAGTGTTTTATTTAAGTTCAATTTTATAATCAAATTGTCAGTACTTTAGTATTCATTGAAGTGTTTTGTCGTAGATTGTATAACTTTATACAGTTAGTTATTTCAGAGTTTAGTGGTTTGTGTGTTTAAATTGTTACATTTCTGTGTGATATTATGAAAAAATGGATGGGACTCTTGAAAACGAAACAGAGCGAATAATTCTCAAGAAAATTATTTCGTAGGAAAAAAACTTATTTATTATAATATGTAAAAGTCAACGATAGCCCTATATGTTTTAATACAACTATGTTTCACCTGAAATTTAATTTTTTAGTATACCTACCACAATTCCACAAAAAAAAATCGAAAAAATTACCCCTGCTGTCTGATTATGTCTATCATATGTTTTCTGGGGCGCAATAAATCCTCTATCCATTGACCACACAATCCCAATAATCCCATAACCCCTTAATCCCTTAAACCCGTAAATCCCTTAACCCCATAACCTCAAAATGCCATAACCCCAAAACCCCAGTACCTGGCAAGAAAGAGACTTATGCGCGTTGAAGCCCTGAAACACAGTATGATCGAGCCATGCTTCTTGAGCCTTAAACCCACATTCTTCAATAACCATATAACTCCCCATAACCCGGTGAGAACGAGACTTTCGTTGGGAGAACCTACGTTTTGCCGAATCCAGGAACAACGACGAGGACGTAGTAGACTTCTGTTTTCTTTGGGGTGCTTTATTAACACGTGTTCCCCTTGCCTCACAATTTTCGGGGTGCTTTTTGAAAGTGTGTTCCCCTTGCCGCAGACGAATAGCAATGATGTCCGAAGATTTGACTCATAAGAGTTCGTACATAAGGCTATTATTTTCTGGATTATGAGGTTATGGGGTTATGGGGTTATTAAAGATTATAGGCAACGAATATAAACCTCTTATAGAAGAACACTCATAGGTTACAAGTCAGGGACGAAATTGAAATGCACATAGAGCCTATACTAGCCCACAGCTGTCCCCCAAGATTAGATAGGAGAAACCTATAACATACTATATACGTCCCCCAAGATTTTTTCCCCGATTTCCAACCCTGAGCGTTCTTCTATAAGAGGTATAGGTTTAAGGCTCAAGAAGCAGAAGCTCGAACATACTGTGCTTCAGGGCTTCTACGCGCATAAGTCTCTTTCTTGCCAGGTACTGGGGTTTTGGGGTTATGGCATTTTGAGGTTATGGGGTTAAAAGGTTTAAGGGATAAAGGGGTTAAGGGGTTATGGGGTTATTGAGATTGAGTGGTCAATGGATAGAGGATTTATTGTCTATTTTTTGAGGTTATGAAAAATTCTGACGTGATGGGGTTAAATGGACCCCGAATTTGGATTCAGCGACCCCGAAAACATATGATAGATATGGTCTGTTTCCAGGGGCAATTTACTCAATTTTTTTTGTGTGGTTATCGACATTTTATCAATATCAACAAACCTTTTCGGTAAAGGATGTGGTGCCGTTCTCATTGATTTTCTCCTTTAATACTTTGAAGCAGCTATCTTTATCCAGGGTTTCACCATGACATTGAAGCACTATAGTTCCAAGAGTCTCTAACGTAAATCCTAGACAGTTACCATAACCATCAAGTTGCTTCACAGTGTAGAACTTCGATACGGCAGACAACGCATCGAGGTTGGTTACTGGGAGTCGTTGGCCAGCATAGAAATTGAAATGACCTGGGAAAAATTTTATCAATGCTAGGATGCTAACCGTAATTTGTAAGTGCTATCTGGCGCAAGGTTAAGTGTACGAGCAAAGGCAACATTAAATATTTCTTAGTTTTGTTTTTTCCGACAGATTTTATAAAACTTATAAACGTCTGATTTGTATTTATTTTCATTTTTGAAAGAAGTAAGTGAGAGATACGGATGAGTAGGGGGGATCCCTCACGTCAGATAATTTTTTTTGCCATTTTCATAATCAGCGAAAAATTTTACCAAAGATAGGTAGGTTGGATGACCAGTTTGGACTTTTTTATTTTTTGGGAGGAATTAAGAGTGTATGGGAGGGAATTCATACGTCAAAGTTTTTGTATCATTTTCGGATTCATCGAAAAATTTTACTAAAGATAGGTAGATTGTCATAAGTCATCTAACACTTTTCATTCTTCAAATTATTCTTAATTTTATTATTAAATTACCAACTTATTGGGAGACAGTGTCAATTTATTAATATGATAAATAACAACTTATTTATTGTGACATCCGCCTACTTTATTTTTACAAGTTTTCGCAATTTTCGCAATTATCCCTTTACCCCAATTACCCCTTTAGTGAACGATGAAGCACATATTTTTTTTTACTAGAAAACTATCGGTTTTATCGAAAAGTTACAAGAGGTAAAACAGTTGCGCAATAAATCTACCAATAAATATTTTTAAATAAATAATTTGCTTCATATAAAGAATTTCTAATAATATATTGCAATGGAATTGACTGTTTCACTCCTTTATAAAATACGCCAATGATCGAACAAATATTGAAAAGTTGTCTCTTTATTAGTAGGATGCTCATACAAAGTTTTGTGTCTCTAGCATTCCTCATGTTAAAGAAAAAAATTAAAATGTGAATTTCAATCCCCTCCTTTAAGAGGGTATATCGCCTCAGTGGTGCAACTTTCCTATTTTTACTTCAAACCTCTTATTTTTGGCTACTTCGTTTAAAAACACCCTGTATCATATTTATTTTTATCATATTTGGATTCAGCGAAAAATTTGACTAAAGATGGGTTTGATGGCAAGTTGTTTTTTTGTAATTGTTGCTGTATGTATGGGGGGGGGGGGGTAATTTACAACTCCGATTTTACCAAAGATGAGTAGGGTCACGTTTCTAAAACAAAACTTTTTTGTCAGCCTGTGTAATTAATAAAAATATATGAGATGTAATAAAGATGAAAATTACATACTTTTAAATAATAAAAGATTCTGAAATTATTTCCCGATATTATTTCATATTCCAAATGAAAACAAACCTGTGTATAACATATTTGCTAGTTCATTGCTTTGATTTCCTAATATTAGTAAGAAATACAAATATAATATAAATTAAATTAAATAGTGAAGTCAAATAATACATATTACAAAACTTACCTTTACTTGGTTTGAAAAACAAGAATGTCAATATTAATATTTTTAAGTTCATCGTTGCGTTGTCATCCAAACTGTTGAAAATTTCAACACTAACTGGTTCTTTTCATTTGAATTTTGTTGCGAATAAACACTGGTTTATGTATATGTACATATATTACTTCATGTTTTTTTTTTATTCTTCCGTGAAAAATGGTATATACAGTGTGTATGTTCTACAGATTTCAGTTCTGTATTTCAATATAAAAACAAACATTTTTTAAAATTGCATAATGGTATTCAGTAAATATTTCAATTTGCATTATTTTTTAATGCATTAAGTAATTACTTTTGTTAATTTACTTACATTTCAAATGTTGCCATCATCAGATAAATTAATATTAGCCAAATGTTTAACACCATAAAAATATCGACAGCTATGTTACAGGAGTTGGGTACACTTACTCAGCTCATAGATATCTATTATCTATAGAAACTGACAAAAAGAACTTTAAGCTGTGATTCCAAAATAAATTAAAACTGTCAAAAATAATTTCAAAACGAAACGCCGTTGCTGAGTATTGAAAAGGAAAACGAATTGATTTTCGAAACGTCGACCTATCGGATTGCGCTATATACAGGGTGATTCTGTAACAATGTCATTAATTTTAAGGGATGATAGGGAAAAATCAGTAGAACTCGAAAACGGGATTTAAAAAAAATTTAAATACATATCTACGCGAAAAAAATATTCTTAAATCATTACCCCATTTCGGACCGATCCTAATCGCTGATCCACAAAGATTTATCCGGAATGAATCTTAATTTACCGTAATATGCGGTCACTAACCCATCTTTTAATACCTTTTTAATCCGTAGGGAGCTACATGGAATAAACACAGCGTTTTAACTAGGCACAAGAAGAAATAAGATATTTTTTTACATTTTAAGTATTAAAAATCATTAAAAATAAATTTATAAAGATAATAATGGTTTTAGATTGTTAGGTTATACAATGTAGTATTTTTAATATTTTTAACGTTTTTACTATGTTTTATTATAATTGAATATGAGTTTTTAGTATCCTGTTCAAGTAATTATTCAGTTTATAGTACGTATACCATATTGTGTGACTTATTCCTTTTCAGAGTTGTATGGTACTTACGCATTTAAAATGACAATACGGCTAAAAACACACTCATTCGTCCATAAAGTCTTATTAAAGTTGAGATACGTTGCACTTTCATTTTGAAAGGAATTTCAAAACTGGACGAGTTGACAAGACAGCCGGCGCGGTGCGTTCCCTATAACGAAGTGGACAGCCGAGTTATCGGGAGAAAAGTAGAGAAATTTTTATTTTTGTTTGGTTTTCTATCCTTATTAGGCTGTCCGAATACGTGGTTAAAATTAATGACACCATGACTGAATCACCCTTTATACTGACGAGTATTTTGCATTTTCTATTTGTCTGCTATTCAGTGTGAAATTTTTGTGTGAAACTATTTTTTCTGGTAATACTTTGTTCTGAAAATGTATCTTATTTTATTTCCTTTAATGGTACACCTGGTAGATCTTCATGTGTTCTAATCAGAATGAACTTTTAATTCTTTGAATTTTACCTGTTTAAAATTTATTTGTCTCTTTATATGCAAATCAGTCATTTTTATGCATAATCTACCTAACTTAATAATAACGTTGCCTAAAGGCATCCTTTTGAGTCGCATTTTAATTATATTTCGATCATTTTCATTATATCTGCTGATGATAACAAATAGTCGATTAAATAAATGTTAATTTTTCTTATTCTGCGTACTGCTGTCAATATCCAGGTACTTCGACAATCAGGCTAAACCCGCAGTAGATAGATAGATAGATAGATAGATAGATAAATAGATCAACTGTACCTACCTACTTTCGTGCCAAGCCAGTTTCACAATTCATTCTTAATACATTTGCGTTTACTAACCATAGTAATTACCTCTGCATGTTTTGTGCGTACTTGCTCATTGTTTCGTGGTGTTAGCCTAACCTTTTAATATTAATAATGTCTAACAATATATGGAAACAATTCTAGACCATAAGCTTGAATCGCAATATCTAGTGTTTCAGAAAATTACAACTTACTTTTTTCTTGTATAATAAAACTAAACTGAATTTGAGTTCCTAACCTATTACAACATTTTGATGATCACTGGCTTCTCATACAAATGAGTTGTCGAAAACATGTTGCGGCCTTTCTCCTCATGTCTCATTTAAAATGTACTTACATTCTCCGTACATTAACACCATATCTACTAGGTCTTGATCAGAAAACAATTTATACGCAGCACCGGCTAAATAAAGGAAGTCACGTAGAACGTCAGCCAATTAGAAAAGCGCTTCACGCATGTAGCGAGTCCGAAGCGTTCTAACCGTGCAGGTGCACAAGATGCACAGGGTCGGCTTACATTTATGGTTAATTTTCTTAATTAATTTTCTCGAAAACAAAAGCATTTAAATTATAAGTTCCATGCCAAATCACTGAGGTCTTGACCGAATCATTTTTAATTTTTCCGATTTTTTGATATTACTTAGTGCCTATTTAGAGTACCTACCTATCATAAATTTTTTCAAATTTTTAGTTCAATCCCACAAGAGGTTATGGGCATTTTAGGTAAAAAATTTTCAAATACCTGTAACTTGGCAAAAACTAAAGATATCGTACCATTTGTTGTCATTTTGTTCGTCTTGGGATGCACTTTTGAGGTTTTTATTCGAAAACAAAAAAATCTATGAAAATTTATGAGACAGCTTCTAGAGTGGGATCTGTTTTGATCTATTTTTTTTGCTAAATAGATTCTTTTGTATTTTAATTTTTTACAAGTAATGCACGCTATCAAAAAGTTTGTTTTGCATAATGCCATAATACGAGTACTTGTTATATTTTTGAACATTTGTATTTAGTAAAAATATTTATACAGGCTGTTACAAATTCGCTTCTCACTACAGGGATCTCGAAAACGGTAAGAGATACGAAGTAGCTTAAATGGGGGCAAAGTTGCATAATCAGGGGACCAACATTATTCCTCTAAAAAATCAAGGCTAACATGATTAGTTTTCGAAATATTTGAAAAAACCGAAATTTTGGAAATCCGTTTTTGTTTCATTTCAGCCTTGTTTGACGTGATAAAATGATCTTCCACACCTGCTAGACGATATTCCTCTTGAACTACTAGCAAACAGGTTATTTTTACAATATGGAGCTCTTCCACATTATTTTTTGTCAATAGAAAGTATTATAACATTTTAACAACGAATGTAAATAGGTATACTGAAATTTATTTGATAAGTTTGAGATATCTTGTCGTTCTAAACATTGGTTTAAAATAGAAGATTTTAAAGCAAAAAAAAAAGGACATTAAGTATACACTTGTAACAAGCAAATATTTGTAAGAAAATGTAAACAATGTGAAATAATTTTTTCTGAAAACTTCATTCCCTTGGTGGCATTTTATTAGTTCGTATCAATCCTAGCATATGTTTTGGTGCGAATCCATATAGTTTCCCCTCTATTTGGAAACAGTTATTTGTGGAACATTTCAGAATTATCGTAATTTTATCTTTAATTATAAGTCCAATGCAGGATTCGTTCAGTTTGCTTGCACATATTTTTCTTTCCTGAAAAAGAGAAGAGAAGAACAAAATGATTACAATCTGTCTACTGTTTGAAGCGTCTCTGTATAAGATGTAATATACAGGGTGTTAATGAATTTATGTCAAAAACTTGAGGAGTGAAAAAGTAGTAAAACTGTGTTAACTGGTTAACTAAGGTCATAGAGAAAAAGGCTAATAAAAAATGTGTTTAAAACTGTTTTGGAACTGCTTAAATACATGTATTTTATCGCGGCAACTAGTTACAAAAATTCTGTAACACTTTTTACAAGTTTGTAGGTTTCTTATGAAGCCGGACTGTATTCCAACGTCAGTTTGTAATATATTGTTGTAGTGATTGCTGTGCTGTTTTTCGAGAGGACATTTAATAGCCGTATTTCTAAGTTTTCTTTTGAAAATGGCGCATTTATTTAGCAATCGCGAATATTATGATATGCTCATAATTTATGGCGAAGCAGACGAAAACGCTCACAGAGCTTGACATGTATACCGTGCAAGATATCCTGAACGACGTGCCCCCGCACCGCGAACATTTGTTGCTGTAGCGCAAAGAGTTTTGGACGCCGGTGAAGTACAACAGCGTCGAGGTCGCGAAGATTGGCCCAAGGCGACCACTGAGAATATTAAATTACGAGGATGGTTCTAGATCTCGTCGAAGAAGATCAGCATCGTAGCACCAGAAATATCGCACAGCAAGTAAATATTTCGCATCCTGTTGTGTGACGGACATTACGAGAAGCTCAGTTGTACCCATTTCATATTCAATGTGTTCAAGCGCTTATTGCCCCCACCCGGTATCCGGACCATACCCCTTTAGACTTCATTTTATAGGGATATGTGAAAAGTGTTACAACGTGTGCAAGCGAATTGGATACGTCGCACAGAAGCTTGTGTGCAAGCAAATGGTGAATACATCGATCATCAAGATGCAGTATCCAAAAGTGTTCTGAACGATGGTCACATTGCAACTGAACAGAGACAAAGGATTCTGGGAACTTGTCTCGAAGAACAGCAATTGTAACGGATGGACATTGGGATACTAAAAAGCTTAGTGAAGACCACCGGAATGATGACAGTCTGAAATCGATTATTAGTTGGAAGGAACATAGGACTCGATTAAAAATGACAGAAATGTAGGACAAATCATCAACATTAAAAGGTTACTGGGTTACTTATCTTAGAAAATGGGTTAATGAAGAGGCAGTGGGAAAGTTCAGATGGCAAAGAAGTACGAAAGCAGGTTGCGCTTCCAAGGAAAGAATCAACGAAATGTGAAGTAGGTGGAGGACATTTCGACGTAAACAAGACTGAATTAGGAAATTGTTACCTCCTGGAAACTTAAGTAAAAATAGAGGTATTCCACATCAAGAGGCAGCGATGGTAGCTGAAGTTCCCATTGAAAACCTCTTCTGCAGATTTGTGTTCCAAGAGAATTGCATTCGGACCAAGAGCGAAATTTTGAATCAGATGTGTTCCAGAGAGTGTGCCAGATGAATATCAGAACAGACTAGAACAACACCCCTGCATTCCATTTCTGAAATTAATTTGTACCAAATTTCCTTTATTGAACACAATTTAATACACAAATTTTGACAATTTTGACACTCAATAGCAAATTATAACATAATCTTTCAAATACTCCTCTGGCCCATTGGCGAGGCCGCTTATACCTGTATTCGTTGTTTCTCGAAATTCCCATGGATTTCTAAGAAAAGTACAGAACAATCTTTAAGCTTCTAAGAAGACGATAAATAAAAACATATTCTAAAAACACCATGAAACAAATAAGTAAAGAAACGTATAAAAAAGCACACTAGGGATTCATAATACTGTATTACAGACATTGAAAAAGCTTGTCATTTCAAATATTTTTTCCATACAACCGCATCTGCTACAGCAACTTCTTGAGTACCTAACTGGAATTTTTCGTTCAGTGCACCAGTCATTAATAAAATAATCACCCTGTCCTGTCCGATCACTTCCAATATATAGATTGTAACTTTTCATAGAAGATATATTAACTTACGTTTTCAATAGACAATGTAGTGTTATATTGAAGAGTAAAAACTTGGAAACAACCAATTCTCTCCATGTTCTTTTCTGGGCAATCAAGTACTATGGTGTCCAGAGATTCAGTTATGAATCCCAAACAATTTTCGTAGTAAACCAGTCGAGTCACTTCATAGTAATTTACTGGTGATCTTGAACTGTTGGTTACTTCCAGTCGCTGTCCTAAATGGAATTCGTATTGTCCTCCTTTGAACTGCTGTACGAGAAAATCTGACGTGATGCAACTTTTGTCACCTGGAAGACAACAGTTGGTACTGAATTAAAGGTGACTGAAGTTGAGTGAGGGTGCATCAATTTTTCTGTGAGCTGAGAGCTTCATCGACAATAATAGTATAAAGAATAAGTAGATAATAGTAAAGCTATATGCCTTGCGATATCTCAAATTTGGAAGTAAACAGATAAATGAATAAAAAAATACAAGAACTCTCAGCTAATTTACACGTAACTTCAAAATTTTTAACTGAAAGCAGGTGTCCCTCTTTTCACGCAAGGACATTAGCTATTTTTTTTCAAAATACCCAAAATAATGTCACAAATAAATAATTTTGCTTAAGTATAATAAGATACTTACCGTGACTGTACTTATTGAGCAATAGAAAAAATAATAATACGCTTTTACTTAAACTCATGGTTGTGAAATATACTTTTAAAACATTATAACATCTTTAAATAAAAGCCTTCCAATGTATGTCAGCATACCGATATGATAATCTTAATTTGTTTACTGCTCAAACTGCTTTTGCTGATATGAAGCGACTTCTCACAAATCCAGATTAAAGTATTTTTGGTACGATTAATTAGTAAATTATTTTCTGTTTCCTAATGTAAACATTGTATTTATTTTATTATTTATTTATTTTTGGTAGAATTGAAATATCCCATTACAATAACATTTTTAAAATGAACATTATAGTCCTGTAATGCACGAATGAATTATTGCAGCATTGGAAAGTGGAACAATGGTTCCCGAAGATCGTCATTTGAAAGTGCCTACTATTGCTAAAGCGTAAAATAAATCAGAATCAACCATTTTAACAATTCTGTGATAAACTAAATATTAACAAGGCTTCAGCAACGTTGCAAAATTATTGACTACAGAACAAAAACTGCTTAGGGCATTGAATATCCGTCATATGAAATATTCGAATACAGAACCTAAATGCGTCGAAGTTAAGATGTGGAAAAATAAAATTTTTATTATAATTTTAGCTGTCTAATTTTTCCAAGTTTGGCACCCCATAAAAAAACACTCACTAGACATTTGTCGATGAAATTTGGTATATAGGTATTTTGATTGCTGTTGAATAGCCTGATAATATTATCTTTTTGATAAAAAAATGCCCAATATCACTTTCTGGAAAACCGACCCTTTTAAAAAATAGTAGTAGACCAAGTTTTTGACACATCAATAAAATGTCTAGTTGATTATAACCTCCCATAAAGGTATTAATTGTAAAAAAATTAGCTTGCGGAAAGTCCACGGCCTTCTCACACTTCCAGATGTGTTAACCTGTAAAACGGACACACTGATAATTTACAGACGGTTTTAGCTAGAAAAAAATATTTATCTACTCTGTCATATTTTTTAACAGTTTCATTCCTTTTGTTTAATGACACCCTTTTCGCTCAAAAATAAATAGAACTGTTGCACAAATTTATATATATTTATATTTATACATATAAAAGTAAATGTGGAAACTATAGTCCGATCAAATTAGTCATAAAAATAGTGGTCAAATAACAAAAATTCCGACAGAGGTAAAAATTTTGGTGGAGACCTTGCGTACACCATTAGACATAAAGTGTCAAAAGTCCCCATCGATCCCATGTATGCTAAAAAAGTTATTCGGGGTCAAAGGTAAAAATTTGAGGTTTTTTGGATTTTTTTCGAAAATGGTAAGTTTTCCCCAAAAAAGTAGTTCTGATAAAAATTATAGATCTGAAAATTATCTACAAAAATTGTCCTTATACTTTTGTTTCTAAGAACCACCATTCCTGAGATATCGCGATTATAAAAGTTGAAGGAGTCACGTTTTACATGATATGCACATCTATGAAACGTATACAGCGTGGTGAAAAAGTTCTGCATAAAATTTATATTTTCGTTAAACAATTTTTTTTTCGAAAAACGGTGAGACCCGCCGATTTTTATTTGATCCCGGGCACCTTGTTATGTGGAAAATTTTTTTTTTCGATAATCCACTCACGGCAGCGATGACATAATTTTTTTTTTAAATGACAACGCATATTTTTTTCTTTCGAAATTGATGACAGTGATAATTATCTAAACAACGGTGTGAAAATTTCGATGTCTTACATAACAATTTTTTTTAGAAAAATGCACCTTAAGTTCTTATAAGTGATAATTGTCTACTTACACTATTAATGGCTCCGAAAAGGACAAAGTTGACAAAATTACATTTCAAACGAGTAAAATTACACTAATGTTTGTGTAAGTCTAGCGAAATTGTTCGAATTGCCCACCCTGTACCATTTGGCATTGTCCTAAGCGTGTGTAAACGCCGTCTACACTTCGTTCAAGCATTCCCGGGTCGATTTGATTTATTTCAAAACGAATACGGTTTTTAAGTTCTTCCAAATCACCTGGTCTGTTTGTGTACACACGCGATTTCAAATAGCCC